TTTGTTTGTTTTAAACTTTTTATTATGAGAGGTTTATGTTTCAGATATTCAGCTTTGTATTCAGCAACTTAAACTACTTCTCCAATCTCCCAACAGCTTGCCATCCCCACCCCTTGACTCCTCTTCTCCTCTTGGAGCATACCATTTTCCCCTTTGTAGTAGTTACATCATGTCAACTTGAACATATAAAAGTGTAGGGGTGGAGTTTAGCCTATCAATCAGGTCACAGCCTGATGGTGACTCCTTGTTGGGTGGCTTTCTCATAGGAGGGTCCTGGAAACCTCCCCTTCTCTCTGCCTTCACCTTCCTGCTGGCTGACTTATCTGGTTGCTGTCAGAGCCCTGTCATGTTTCCACCGCCATTGGATCCACAATACTTTGCACCCACCAGCCTGTGATCTTCCTGCATTCCGCAGCATTGCTTGTGACTGCAGGAGTCTAAAGAGGGACTTATGGACTAGTATGGACTGGGCTGGGATGTTTCCTTGATATACAGTTACTTCCTGATATAAAGCTCTATCTTACACATATATGCGTGTCACTAAATTTGTTTCTCTAGTCAACCTGGCTTAACACACACTTCATCCAAGCAACTGGCTCTTAAATCTATGTTTACTAAACAAGCAGCCTTCAGATTTTTAATCTGGTCGTGGGCGAGACCTGAGCAGAAGGTAATCCCTGGTTTAGATAACCAATTCCAGATCTGGAGCCATCTGCCATCTGTCACTGTACACTGGTATCTTGGCATATAAACTTGTCTTTAGGCTTTTTGGTTAATGTTCCCCTTTCCCAGAATTTTGTCACGCTTGAGTCAGGACTACTGGGTAAGAACACTCCAGTTTCCAAGCTACCCAATGGCCCCTGTCAAGCAGCTCCTGCAAAGGCACATGAAGGGACGTGTCGGCCAGCTGTCTGAGACCTGGATTCAGCACCACCCACCAGATGCTGCTGCCGCCTCTGGCCAGCAAGGCAGCAAATGCACAGAATTTGCCATGCCACCCATCCCCAGAAGCCCAAAGTGAATCTAGACTTTGGTCCTCACTGGACTACACTCGAAGGACTGGTATGTCAAAGAATCTCTCGCACGGTCTAAGTAAATGTGATGTACCTCCTTTCGAGATAGGAGCCCCACTCCCCGAGCACACTGACGCGGGGGCAGAATGAGCAGGAACAAGCCTGCACACTCATACCCCCCAGCAGGTGTTGCCGACTCTTCTCACAGCAACACCCTCACGCCCCTGCCTGTCAAAGTCGGGTACTGATCACTGTGCCCTCAGGGACCCCCCCTTAAGAATGGAGGCCAAAGTCTGATAATAGTAAAACGTCTTCAAGTGCTGAGTGAAAACAGTCTAGGATTTCATTTCTGTCAACCTACTTCTAAAACCTGCCCCTGAAAACCCTTCTCGTCTGGAGCCATGAGTTGGAATTGAGTTAATGGCAACTGGTTTAATCATTCAAAAGTGAGGGCAAGCAAAAATGTCAAGGCCCCCCCCCCTAAAAATAGAGGTACTTTTACTACTCATTGATTACTGACAAAGAAATTATACACTTCAAAACCTATTAGAAGGAAATGGAACATAAGAAGCAATGATAAAGAAAAACACTAGTAACTGTAATGCTGACCATAAAAACATCAGTTCAATAATTCATTCATAATTGAATAGTATCCCACAAATAATCAAAATGTTTTTGAAGGCCTACTGTATGTCAGGAACTGTTTCAGGGCCTAGAGAAATCTAGTTTCACGGATAGGAAATCATTCTTTTCTCCACCCAGGAATCCAAGTAGCCAGCTTATCCCAGGTTTAAGGTTTCCAGATGGAAGATGACCTGCTTTTCCACTTCAGGCCTTAGCAGTGGTGTCAGAAATGGACAGTGAACTGTGTCACTTCCGTTTTTCAGGGATGATGGCCCATGGCTGGCTGATAGTCAACCAAGATTTACCAATATCACAGAAATATTTTGCTTTGAAGGTGAAAGTACAAGAAATCTGATGAAATATCATCAGTATTATGACTTCTAATTTTAAGGAGGAGTCTAGGCCACAAGGAGGCTTGGTGGTGCTGCCGGGTAACTGCTGGCTGCTGAGCACCAGTCAGCAGTTCACGGCCACCAGCTGTTCTGAGGGAGACAGACTGAGCCTGCCTGCTCCTGGAAAGACCTAGGCTTGGAGACCCTGCAGCAGGCTGCTGTGAGGTCGAAGCAACTGGCTAGCAGAGGGCTGGGGTCACTTCGATCAAAGCACAATTCCTCCCAAACATTACTTAGAGGAAAGAACTGGGATTGTCTCCAAGACTCCTTTTACTTCATTAACTTCACTTATGAGCGGGCTTCAAAAAGTTCATGGAAAAATTCCATTGGGTCTTAATTCCATCTTACCTATTTTGAAGGCCTTCATACAACTGCACCATCTGTCCACTGAATCCAGAATAATACTTCATGCACAAGAGTATCCTGATTAGTACATTTTTCTTTTTATATTAAATCATTTTATTGGGGGCTCGTACAACTCTTATCACAATCCATACATACATGCATCCATTGTGTCAAACAAGTGTGTACACAAAAACACCTTTAACGTGTCTGCTGTTTACTAAGATCTACGCTGGGTGCTGAAGACTCCAACAATCTCAGGGCTCATTAACGTTACACCCAACCGTACTATCATTGCAGATCACTCCTGCAAACCTCATCAGTAGTCAAATCGCATTCGTTTTTTACTTGAGTGTTTTTCCTTATAGCCAACCCTGCCATTGCCTACCCAATAGCTAGATCCCCCCATCCTCAGAACAAAACCCCATTTTTGTTCAGCTAGACACCCTGCTCTCTCTGTCACATACTAGGGGAAGCTGGCTGTACTCTGGGAGACCTGATCAATTCCTAAATCAACCACCGTGGTGGCTCATGCCAACAAGTGGCTTAAGCTTGGGCACATGAGAACAGGGCCAACTAGAACAGCTTCTTCATTCCTGAAACAAGGGTTCTTAGCCAAGGGCGGTTCCCTCTTCTTTGGGGAGAAGGAGCACTTAACAATGTCTAGGAGCATGTTCGGTTGTCAGACCTGGTGAAGGGATGCTGCGAGCATCTAGTGGGTACAGACCAAGCCAAGCCAAAGTAAACCAGCAGGTTCATGGCCATCAAGGTCATTCCCGCTTGGAGCCCCTCACGGGGCGGAGAACTGTCCCGCTGACTCTTCGAGGCTGTCCTAGTACAGGAGAGCCACCTGCTGAGGCGTCCTCCTACAGATCGGCTCGGGACTGCTGGCTTCGCACCCACTTTGGATTCGCAAGCCAATGTGCTTTAACCACAGTGCCACCAGGGTTCCCCAGTGTAGACAAAAGATGCTGCTAAACACCCTACAAGGCACCTACAACGCAGTCGTCTCTCACAAAAAGTCTTATGGGCCCAAATGTCAACCGCACGGGGTTGACAAGCCCGGCTGCAGTTGACCCCTCCCTGGAAGAGACGGTCTCTCTGAAGGCGGTG